TTCTTTTACAAGTCTATTCTTCAGCAGGCCGTGTTCATAATCCCACCTAAAAAACAAATAAATAAATAAATAAAATAAATAAATAAATAAATAAATAGAAAATAAATGAATGATTAAGTTGATAAAGAAACAAAACAAATATTTAGTTTTTTGTTAAGAGTTTCTACTACGTAAATTGTATTGATTGATTCTGTGCAGAGTTTAACGAATATATTATTAATTTTCCATCAACTCTGTTTTAATTAAACAAATAAATTATATTTTATTTAAAATATTTAATTTATTTAATTTTTTTTGTCTTTAATTACCACATAGGCTGCGTCGCCCTACACCAATCCCAATCCCCCCGAGGGGTTAAGCACGCCTCGTCGTTATGTACAGGCATTACATGTCCTATCTTCCTGCATGCATATACATAAAATAAATATAAACAGCTGCTGCTGCTGCTGCTGCTGTTGCTGCTGTTGCTGCTGCTGCACAAATACATTTAAATATAATTAGTATACACGGATGCTCCTGCTGCTGCTGAATACAAGTCAACACAAATCACTGCAGCAGCTACCATAGCCACAAATAAAGAAGAGAAAAAAAGGAGACGCAGCGAGGGTATCTGTCTCTTTCTTTCTCTTTTTTTCTTGTTTTTTAAACTAAACACAAAAAAAAAACAGAAACTTTATTCACCTGAAATACATAAACTCCTGCGTAGCATGCCCTGCAGCACACTGCGCCAGAGACGGGCGGCCCCCAGGAGAAGCGCGGCCCACTGAATCCAAACATAAACCCGAGCCTTTGTTTTCCAGGGTGCCTGCAGATACAAACCCTAAACCCTAAACTGTAAACCCTAAACCCTAAACCCTAAATACCAAATCCAAACCCTAAACCCTAAACCCTAGTTTCCTAGCAAGAGAGATTGGGCACCTGTGGCTTAGGAGAAACAGAACAACTGTCTAAACCCCCACTGCTACCGGGTCGTGAGTATTCAGCATCAACTGCTTTCAACTGCAGCGAGGCAGGGTGTATTCAGGCTACAGTGAGGGGGTTTGCGAGGGTTTACGGGGCTATCGCCGAGCCAACGAGGGTTTAGGGTTTAGGGTTTAGGGTTTGTTGTCTCACCGAGGTATGGTACATCATCTAGATGTACAACATCTGCTTCAGGGAAGACATTTTCCATATACCATTTGAAGCTTTTACAGTTATGTTGTTTTCTCCATTCCTGTCTTTGTTTGAGTGTATCTACACCGTAATCAATATTAGGTCTACCCAATACACGCCATGCAAGATCAGCATATTCATCCATCCATAAAAGTGTACGCATCTTATTAACTGTTAATGCTTTAGAGGGAAAGCTATACCCAGCCCCCCCCTTGCGAAATATATGATAGACACGGCTGCAGGGGGCGCACTCTAGAACCCCGCCACACTGCCATAGACGAAAGCTGAATTCTAGGTTTTCTGTACCCCAATACTTAAACCCTTCATCATAAGCACCAATAGAGAAAAAGAAATCTTTATTTGCTGCAAATAAACCTCCAGCCATTGCTGGTGATGTCTGAAAGTCTGTAGGGCCGTGCTGCTGCTCCTCACGAGGTAGCCGCTGCATCTGGTGAGATTCATATGAATGCTCCATCAGCTGCCATAGGAAACCTAGTTTACACCCAATACCCCCGGCTATATGTTCAAATGTTTCTGCATCAATACCATCAACTTGAGGCATTACTATACGACGATGGTCCTCTTGAATACGAGCAACCAGTGGCTCTAACCACTGGTCCTGTACTTCTATATGGCTATCTAATACTACAAATATAGGCGCTGTTGCAGCACGAATAGCACGAAGACGTGCACCCACAATACCCTCACGACGGGGGCTACGCACCAAACGAACCTTAGGAAGTAATTCAATATATTGCTGCAGCTTTCCGTTTCCTTTTGCTGCTACATCTGGCAGGTTGCTGCCGTCGTCCAGCAGCACCACCTCATGCAGCAGAGAAGGTGGTGTTCTGTTCAATACACTGTGTACAGACCGCATCAATGTAGAGAACGGCTCATTATAAAATACCATCAATACAGATGCTGCAGGCAAAGAAGATAAATCATACTGCAACGTCTTGCATGCACTGTGACGCGAATCAGGAGCAGCACGATCAAGAGGTAAATGATCGCTCAACTGTAAGTTGAAACCGCCGCCCCGCGCCAACTCCGCCGGCATATGCAGGTCCTGTACATACACTCCAAATACATATATTCAAAGAGAACGGAATGAATGTCTCCTGCAGTGCACTATCACCCACACACTGTCTAGAA